TGGTTTGTTTATTGTTATAGTTTATTGTAATAGTCCTGTCTCTTATACACATCTTTCTCACCCAACAACAACAGTTCTTTTCAGACTACTGTATCTACGTGGTGTTCTACAAGCATTAATACATATTAACAGAAGTAATTAAATGTTACTTTATGCATAACAAGCATTAATTTGTCATTAAAATTCTTATTTACAATATAATTTAAGATAGCTGTTAACACTGTTAAATTATAATTACATAAATCATTGAAGAAAGAACGAATAAAAGACATGATAGTATACATGGATTTCTGGAACGTGCACGAGAGTCATGAGTCTCAATATTCTACTCTGGAAAATGTAGACATTTGGGGAATATGCTCACTCCGCACCAGCCCCCATACACCTGCATAGCCCGGGCCAATCCATAAGCCAATCAAATGTAATTATTAAGGTACCATTCCAAAGTAAGGGCACTCGGCTGAGATGATGTGCAGACCTTCCCTCTCCCCCACCAGGTCCCACACTGATTTCCTTACGTATGTTGTTTCCAACCCTCCTCCACCACCCCCACCCCGCTTGCACCGCCACTGAGATGGTGGACTCAAGGCCCCTTAAAGGGCCTTATCAAAAATTATAATCATGATTCTTATCAGGCCACAACCTGATAACAGTGGGATTCAAGGGTGTGCGGTAGCTGGGTTTGATCAGGGAGTTGGTTTGATACGTTAATCACTATAATCATCATACCACATTGCAACAACAAGCAAGTTGTTGTTGAGCCAATAGAAAGTCGATCACGTACTTACCTCGGTTAAATACCCCGACTAAAAAAACATGAGAATAAACATAAGTCTGGACAATTAAACGAAATGATAACCAATAAAAGAATGAAGAGACAGCGCTGCATTTTGTTGATCGACAAACTTCCAGACTAAAAAAAAACACCGGGCCATCAAAGATCTTATAAACACAAGATAGCGTTCTCCGCGATTTACGCGTGCAAATTCTGTAATAAGGCATGAATGGCGCCCTCTTGCTAAATTGGAAACTTTTGACCCTTGACCGCTCTGACCATATCGCCGTACACCAATCCTGTGAACAGGAACCATCTCAGATCCATGGCAACAGATAGGACGCCCTCTTTCAAAACTGATTACTTTTTCTCTTTGGTATAATAGCGCATGAACGGCGCCCTCTTGCTAAATTGGAAACTTTTGAACCTTGACCGACGCTTCTATTTGTTACGCGTAAATCGCGGAGAACGCTATCTTGTGTTTATAAGATCTTTGCGGGCCATATAGCATAGGATAGAGGGCACTACAGCCCTTTCAGCAACACCACCACCAACACGTATGCGATCCCTATCCTCCTTCCTAGCTCTCACTCGACGAGCAGGTGACGTACGATAGTGTTTGTAAACCCTACTTGAGAAACAAAATGTCTCGAAATTCCAGTAAAGACGGATGATTTTGATATGCATTACTAACGTAGTTGTGTTGTGTGTGCTGATAAAATTCAGCAAATATTTATTAACTCTCCCAGAAGTAAGTCAGTGTCACTGAAGAACTAGCGTAGGCCGCTCATGCAACGACGCAGCCCAGAACATTCGTCGGGTGTCGTCCCTGCTGGCTCGGGTCGACGGAGCGGAAACCGACCAGATGTGAGGCCTAGCATTGCACATGAACCTTCAAACAATTCTAACCGTTGGAAAGTATGCGATATATGCTCAATTCAGTGGAAATCGCCGTCAGAATTTGCTCTCCATTTGAGAGAAAAACATTGTACAAAAGAGGGAGGATCGTTTGTTTGTCGATATGGCACCCACGGGATTTGTCCAAGTCTTCCCCTGGAAGGTGTTAGCGACAAAGATTATGAATTTCATGTTGCTAGGGACCACATTGCAGATTATGGTAAGGTTAAGTAATATTAATATAATGAATGTGTCTACAAATAATTTAATATTATTACTTTTTTTATTTGCTGACAGACTGGGTCATATTATTGTATTGATCAGGGCCAGTTTATTACCATATTGTTATGTTAGTAGACTCCGAAATCGACTAAATAAGCCATTGAAACCCCTAAATTGTCATATTTTTCTGGGGCACTACCCCCGGGAAAACTTTCAAAAGATTTTAAGTGACACCCGACCAAGGCCACTTTTTTTCGTCGGTGACCTCGAACTCCCCGTCGTGCAAATCATTGCGCCACCACTGGTCTGTTTCTCTCCATTGCTGAATGATTCTTTTACTAGTGTTGCATGCCTATTTGGATTGTTTGTGAACAATGCAGTAGGCCTATAAAAATTCAACAGAAGTGTATTGAAAATAAGTATAAAGTCAGTAGACTGAGATAGATTGCCTTCACAGGGGCCTAGGCTACTACTAGGATAAATTAAAAATACAGATTTTAACTTAACTATGTCGAATCCAAAATGGCATTGAAAAATTGTTAGACATCTAATTTAAGTGATTAGCGGTTGTCATTTAGACATTCCTAAAAGACCATAGCTATAGTCTTTTTCCCCAGATTCCCCCTTGTCCCACTTGGACCCTGAACACTACTGTTTATACCACTAATATTTGGGTGAAACTGTGCTGTCCTGTAATCAGTCCAGATGAAAGGAAAGTGATGATGTTGTTTATTGTTTGTAGAACTTGAAAACAACTCAAGTGTGAAACACTTCCACGCGATACTTTTGCTAAGCAGTTGATGCTAAAGCTTGTCACAGGTATTTGCTGTGTAGAAGCGCTACAATAAGGATGCTATAAAGCTTACTACAGGTATTTGCTATGTAGAAGCACTACAATAAGGACATGCTATAAGCTTGCTACAGGTATTTGCTATCAATGTAGAAGCGCTACCATAAGGACATGATAAGCTTGCTACAGGTATTTAGTATGTAGAAGTGCCACCATAAGGACATGCTATTTTCTCAGGAGGAAATGGTATAATAAATTGTTTTTTTTTTTGTTTTTTTTTATAGAGTCAACTTTTATTACTATGTAAACACTGCACCTATGTAGAATCAAATCAAATTCTGATTGACAGTTATGAAATAATTTATTGTGAACATTAAGGAAAGCATATACTCTTTGACAATACTGCACCTCATGGTGAAAGAATTGCAATAGAAAAATTCTTTTATTGTGGAATGAACATAATTCAAGACTGTTATTTGGAAAATTGAGGCATGTCATGGCGAAATGGTTAAGTTGTCACACAGTCCAGTATGAGTAAATGAGCTATAAAATATGGGAGCTCAAAAAATTGCCTATAAATCCAAATTTGTTTTTCACTATAGATCAACAGTTTAATGTCTTATTAATCATGTCCAAAAGTATTAGTTCTGGAAGTGGTCAACAAATTGTTTATTTAACGTTATTTTCATAGTTCATTCTATTAAACAACGTATGCACTAATAACTTTGAAAGGCAATTACTAAAAATCACTACTACTTTCACTTTCTAATAACTTAGGCTTGAAATGTCAAATGTGAATGAATGACCACTCATTTTAATGACTTAGAACCCATACACAGGTATCTGAAAATACTAATAACTTGAATTTCAATTTTTGCTACAAATTAGCCACAACATGCCTCATATTGCTTATGTGAACATTGAGGAAAGCATTTACTCTTTGACAATACTGCACCTCATGGTGAAAGAATTACAATAGGAAAATTCTTTTATTGTGGAATGAACATAATTCAAGACTGTTATTTGGAAAATTGAGGCATGTCATGGCGAAATGGTTAAGTCCAGTATGAGTAAATGAGCTATAAAATATGGGAGCTCAAAAAATTGCCTATAAATCCAAATTTGTTTTTCACTATAGATCAACAGTTTAATGTCTTATTAATCATGTCCAAAAGTATTAGTTCTGGAAGTGGTCAACAATTGTTTATTTAACGTTATTTTCATAGTTCATTCTATTAAGCAACGTATGCACAAATAACTTTGAAAGGCAATTACTAAAAATCATGTTTATCTTGACTCTAAGAGTGCTGTACTTTCACTTTCTAATAACTTAGGCTTGAAATGTCCAATTTGAATGAATGACCACTCATTTTAAAGAACACATTCTCAGGTATCTGAAAATACCAATAACTTGAATTTCAATTTTTGCTACAACTTAGCCATTTTGCCACAACATGCCTCAATTCATAATTGTTTGTTACTACTCAAATGTTCATTTTTTTAATAAGTAATTTCATTCTTATGCTACAGCAAGTGATTTCCACTCGTGTTCTCTGCTCTATTCTGGGAATCAATGGGCATACTGTAGCTGTTGGAAGGTCTGGAGTTTAAAATAAATAATTTCACACTTAGTTTTTTTTTAGTTTTTTGCTGCTTCTGCTGAGGGAGGGGTGAGTGCATCATAGAATTCTCGTCCACGATTATAGAATTTAAGAAAACCACCTAAAAATCCTTACTGTCTCAATTAATTTGTTCTGCAAGATGACCATATTGGAAATTTACTTCACAGCCTACTGTACTTGAGTTTCTAGGTGCCAACACTTGGCCCAGCCACTCCAGGGCCAACATCAGCACCCGGCAAGAAGTTCTGATCATGAAAGTTGTGTCCATGTTAATATAAAAATTTGACATCATTATCTGTTCTATGTTACACAATTTTGTATAAAATGCATATTCACTATATTAACAAAGCATTTTTTTTCTCTCTGGGACATTTGCAGCCTCACAAAAAATATTTTTTATTGCTCAAAATTGGGTCGTAGGCCATAGTTTTTAGATCGTCAATGTAAGCTACCGTATCAGAGTTCTTTTGATTTAAAATGACATTTTAAAAATATTTTCCCTCAGATTACACAAGCAAATTAAATCCAGAATTAGCTCAACAGTCGCGGATGACTAACCAGACGCCCTCTATAGTCAGCGATCAGCTCAAGTGGACGTTTCATTCATCGAGCGTTAACCTTCCAGCTGTGTTGAATGATCCACGAAAGTCACGGCGGGAACATGATTTCTTTACCAAGACTTGGGGCGAAGGGTTTGTTGAAAAAACTGTTATTGCTCCTTCCCCGTATCTACCAGTCATAACCAAAGCACACTTTGAGAAGTACTTAAACAGAACAGCAAATGTAAGTATTAATGGTTGAATAACGTCCACAGTCCTCCCATTACATTATAATAATTTCATTACTATACATTTGTTTCCTGGTTTCCCTATATACTGCTAAAAATTGTCATTGACAATTACTGTAGTTTTCTCTTTAAACATATTGTTAAACTCCTTTTACTTCCAACTTTTATTGTCAACAAAATAGATCAATATATAAAAATCAATTGACAAAAGGTGATAGGGCATAGTTATAAAAAAAACAATCAAAGCTCATTGTTGTAGACTATAGAAAACTAAGGGTGGGTGGATGACATTTTAAGGCTGGAAGGGTGGTAACATTGATAAAGTCTATTATAAGAGTGAATTTTAAGGATGGGCAAGGAGATTAATGAAGGTTGGTAGAGGGCCATGAAATTAGCTTCAGACAGGCTGGAAAACCCACCCACCCACCATTAATTCATCCCTAAAAGCTTATATTCGACTTGATAAATTGATATCAAAACAATTATATTCTAGAATATGTTGATATAATAAATGTGCAAAGAACTGAAATATTTTATATTCAGTTATTTTTAATGAAATTCAGTATTACTGTACGAGAAGGTGTGATGGTCATCTCAAGGAGATGTTAATGACATTTAGTGCTTCAGGCGGATGATTGGTCATTGATTACGATTTGTCACCATTGATTTATTGTCAACGATTTGTTGCCGACAAACTTTAAATATAAAAAAAAAGTAATAAAAAAAAAAAAAAAATAAGAATTAATAAAAGAGAAAAATAAAGAAAAGAAAATTTTAAAAATAGGTATTTGAAAGCTCATTTAAGTACGCTATTTATTATGTTGTTTCATCTTGATACAGACACTGTGTAGCTTTGGTATACCAGCATATTTTTAATTTATCCACAAGAAAATAGATAGTACCATTTACAAGAAGGATACAAAGTTGTACTTTGAGCTCAAAGTTACAACGCTATACAAAGACATTGATGTATGTGGAAAGCAAATATACATAACCTATTTTTAACGCTTACATTAGTGAGGGCTTTGTATAGGTGTTTTATTAACTGTATTTTATTGTTAGTTATTTATGTATGATGGATATTTCATGTCTTGATTCCAAGTGAATAATAAATTGCAACAAACGATAATTAATCAATCAATCAAATTATATTTTGGACGTACAGTACATATCCATATAATAATATAAAGATAAATTTAAACTGCATGTATACCGGTAATACAAATTACAGAAAATGTTTATAGAATAATATATCTCAAGTTATATCATGAACTATACAATAGAAAATGCCACTTAAACAACTTCATAAAACATAATAAAACACATAAATATAAAATTCTTATAGGCATGGAATCCCCTACTCAATCACAAGGCAATTGTTCTGCACTGCATGCCTGATATACTGTAAATCCAATCTTTCATTTTTTGTTGTTGTAAAAATCAGCTAGGCTGTAGTGTTTCGCTTGAAGAAAGACTGGGACTTAAAATTTTAATTAAAACCTTTATTTGTGAATCTTGAAGCTCATTAACTTAAGTTTTCTTTCTCAGCTTATGTTGAGTCATTTTTACCTGTGTGTCAGAATAATTCTGAAGATTCCTTTAAACATACTTTCACTTTGCATTTCTTATTGTTCTTTTTTTTTTCTTCTTGGTTTTATAGAAGCTGAAAAGTCATAAGGTACAGTCATCCCTCCAACAGTCAGTGCCAAGAATCCCAGTTGCCACTGGTGTGTTTAATACTTATCTTTTCAAATTTATACAAATAGTTTTTTTATATAAAGCCAAAGGATCCACAGATTATTCGCAAAAAAAACTAAGAATCGAGTATCATTCTACCTTGCATAATCAAGAAACGTACATACAAGAAATGTTAGAACAAAGATGTGCATGCTTTGCATGCAAATGGTATGTCACCTCATTTTTTTTCCTGAAATACTTACAGATGATTCAAGATTCAAGATAATTTTATTGTCTGAAAAACCCAGACATCACATTCCACTGGCAGTGTTACAAGTGTTAACAACATATACTGTACAGTAATAAATAAATGATAACAAGGCTATCATAAACAAACATCTACTCATAAGATGTACAAAAAGAATATAAAGCATTACTAAAAAATATTACACATTAAGCCTAATTAAATTACTTCAAAATTGCACTTAAAATTACAATTATCTATTAACATTATTAATATTATGAAGGTGAATGGTCTTGGGAACAAAGGAGTTTCTATAACAGCAATGGGTGGTACATTTAGACAGAAGCCTAATTTGTTAAAAGTAAATTCACAGATGTAGCAGATGAGTTGTTTCGTTCATTATTTTCTTAAGTTTAGCTATGCGTATTTGTCATAAATATCATCTAGATGAGTGCCAAAACTAATGTTCATTTCATTTGTTAACCATCCCACCTTGTTCATTTTTTTTTACATTTTAAGAACGTAATACAAAATAACCATTAAGAGAACGACAACAGAACCATCATTATTTTGTCACTTTTTGGAAATTTTATGTTGTTAATTTACAAAAGAGATGCCTACAGTATTTGTTAATAGGAATGAATTTTATAGTAGTTTTTTTATGGTTTATAATTTTGTTTTTTGTAAAAATAATATTTATAGTATAATCATTTTTAAAATAGTACTCTGTATAATACTTTCTATACTTTGATTCATTCAGTCATTCACTTCACAATATCCAACAATAGGCCTAAACTGTATGCACAAAGAAAACCCATTGAATTTGTCATGATAAATGCCAAAGGGAGTTTGACATTAAAAACAATCTACAAGATGTATGTGTTCTTTTACAATCATGGAACACATTTCAAAAATTACTATTTCTGACCATGCTGCCTGTTTATATTAGTAGACATGTATTGATGATGTGTAATGGATGCAGTACCATACCAGTAGATTGTTAAAAAGCTATAATTATTATTATGTAAAAAAAAAAGTCCTTCTGCTCTTAAATTAAATGTTAATGATCTTTATGAAAATAAGTTTAAATCCATATGGAACAAAAACCTAATAATAGTATATTTATTATGTTATGTTTTGTTTATGGGTCTATAATTTTGGTTTAAAAAAAAATTAATATTGAAATTGATGTTTATGTTCTTGTTTTCAGATAAAAGTCGTTTAGAACTGGAGCAAATTCCAAAGGTAAATAATTATTTTTTATTTTTTGTCATTATCATTATACTAAAGGAGGAACGGATTAATATGTACTTTAATTTCTAATTGTTAATGTGCTTGAACAACACTCAATTTTTGCCATATGGCTAAAGGTAGTGTCACTATTGGCAAATCATCTGAGTACTCTGTCCTCATTACTTTCTGCCAAAGAATTTTATGTATTCACCTCTGTCTGTCTCCATGTTAGTCTGTTAGCAAGATTACGCAAAAACTAAGGAATAGTCCTTCATAAAATTTTGAGGAATGTTGCATAATAACTTAAGAAAGAGAAGATTACCATTTAGAAGAAAGTCAAAGGTCAAGGTCACAAATTAATTTTTTTTTTTAAACTTACCTCGAGCATGAAACAAAATAATGGAATCACCCATACATGGCCTGTGTATTGTTCGGTATCCAGGCACAGGGGGGAGGTATGCGCTCTATAGTTAAACAGATTGATTGATACGCTCCCTAATTTCTAATTGTTACTACGCTTGAGAACATAAAATTTTTCTTTGCGTTATGGATAACTGATATAATAGTGCCATACACTCTTGACAATCCTCTGGGTATGCCTTAATATTGAAAAGTCTTTGTTGTGTATCTACCTGGAAATTAAAATAAATGAATATTGCTTGTGGTTTAGTTCTACAAGATTATGATAAAAAAAAAGCAATATTTATTATATAATTTTTTATAATCTTTGTCTTTCTTATTCTGTATCTTTGCAGATGTTTTTTAGAGGAGATTTTGCACTGGAGAATCCAGAAACCTTTCAGGCAGTGTTACCGTGGTCACAATTTAAAAACCGAGGGGCAGGCCAATCATCCAAGCTACTGCAAGAAAAGGTAAAAATCTAAAATAACGAAGTTATCATACTGATAATTGATACATTTTCTAAAAAAATAGTTTATTGCAATTATTTATATTCAGGTTCCATACTACTATAGTATTCCAAATGATATAGCAAACACTATGTGATATTATAGTCAAAATTATAGCAAGTTATATGATAATTTAATGTTATAAGTAAGGTATATGAAATGATCTACATATAGCATGCCATTTGAAATTATTATTATATAATTTATATGATAAAGCTAATGTAATATAATATGATTGTTATATAGTATACGAAGATAGGCTACGGGAAGATAGGCTACGGTCTCCACATCACCTCGGGGCAATAGATTTCACTGTTCCCCGAGCATAGAGCAGTCAATATTTGTTTTATATACCTCATACATAGATTCTACGAGGCCTAAGAAAGTACTTACTTTCTAGCCTGTTATTAAAAGCCTAGGCCTACTACATGTACTACTAGACTACTACTGCTTGACTGCTAGGCCTAGGCGATCAAAGAATGTGTCTAGCTCTTCTTTGCTTATTTCCTCAATTTCAACAGCACCCATCGTTTTGCAATACGGTATTTGTTGAATATTGATAAGACATATTTAATTCGTCTTATTGGTGCTTTTGCTCTCAGCTTCATCAAGAAGTAATGCTAGGTCTAAGCTAGTCCTCCTTCATTTCGAAACGAGCAGCCTCCATATTTGTGTATTGTCTACTCGCTGATCCGTGACGCAGTCATGGGCTAATCTCGTCATAGAGGTCACAGTCCCCTTTACCGTCAGGAGCGCGATGTAGTGGGCCTAGAGTTTGCACATCGCGACAGGTCAAAAAAGTACTATTTTTTCTGCTGCCCTGCTTCTTAACCAATCAAGTGCCTAGAATCTATATATGAGGTATATAATAAGGTATATGCAATGATCATCATGTAGTATAAAATTTGAAAAGATTGCCATAGTAAATCAAAATGATATATCAAGTCCAGTCATCCAGTTATGAGAATATACAAAATACAAATAAAATACAGTGCGTCCCCCCCCCCCAATATTAGACCACCTTGTGGTTTAGTCTCCAAAAGGTTAGCTCTTTAAAAGATAGAAAATTGTTAGTTGAAAAGGAGGTCTTAAAATAGAGCAGTTTCGGAATTAGAGTGGTCTCAAAATGGAGGGTAAACAGTATGTGTATAAATATATACATATATAAATATATATTTTTCTTTTATTTGGCATCATCAAATACTAATTATTTGATTAAATGTTGGCGAAAATCTGTAGTTAAACCTTGAGTGGATTGAATCTGTTATTTTTGCTACAAATGCATTTGGAAATCTGTTTGTTGTTGGCTTTGGCACTCTAAAGCCTGGTACTTGGATTCTTAGCTTACTGATCATTAAGTGATTCAGCTTGGATCATTCATAATACAATTGATTGTATGGTGCACTTTCTCAATATGTAAATTATCAGTACTAATAAGGTCATCTCTAAATAATAGTGCTATTTGTGTCACAGAAAAACTTCTAATCCCTCTGATCAAGGTTTGAAAATTATAATTAGAGTACTTTTATAAGTTTTTATGAAGAATGGAATAATTTTAGGTGTGCAAATCATAGGTGCAATACCACAAAAGACCACAATTTCATATATTTTGTAAAACTGGAGCCAACTCATTATTACAGTATCTCAACGCACATTAGGAATACCATTGGCCTAGTACACTCTTATTTATCGTAGCTTTAGAAAACCTCTGTGAACAAAGATTGCTGGTTCAAGTAGTTTGGATTAGATTTCTTAAGTGTGAAACATTCAAGGTTAACCCATGTAGTGCTAAGACTTATTTCCAGTGGAATCTTTCTGTTGTGAATTGGGCGATATACAAGGAGGGAGCAATACACAGGGAAGATAATCCACTATTCTGTTTTTATTTTTTGAGCGTGTACTGCATTCTTCAAGGTGCACATGGACCATATTTTATGTCGGACCAATGGCTTAAGCTTTATATCCAAAGGACAATCCACTATTAAAACATGCATTTCAACTCTCTAGATTCAACTAGGTGAGAAGCGGATGGAATTGACTGAGGGATGAAGGTTATGTAAACATCTCCATGGTTCAGCGCACATGTAGGGTTTACCAGTAGTTTGGTTGACTAAAAGCTAAACTGGTCTCTTGTAACTAATTTTTTTTTTCAGCATTTTTTAAATTAAGACAAATAGAATTTACTTGTTTGTTAATAAATTGTTTTTTGTTTTTTTTTTCTCTTTTTAGTTGAGTCATTATCTGGATTTGGTTGAAGTAGAACTAGCTCGACAGATCTCTCAGAGGTCAACGGCCTTTTTTACTGCCATGGCGTCACATGACCAGCTACAGGACAGGCTCATCTCAACGTGTACAGCAATTAAAGGCTTAAGGTAGTTATCAAAAGTGTTCTCAAACATCTAAATGAATAAAATATATCAAATTGGTTCTCAAACATTTTTTGCTGTTTTTTAACCGTAAATAATTTGTGATAATTATGATGATGAAATGAGGTGTGCAAAACAGATAATTTTTAGTGATAATCTGATCCAATTGACAATGGCGTTGTCAAGAGTGCCCTTAAAAGTGGAGATAAATTTATTGACTGAGTCAATATGTTCTCGGCCTAACTGTTAGATGTATTAGTGTTTTAGATTATAGACTTTCCTGTTGTTAGTAACATTTATACACATATTGAAAGTATGTTTTATTTATAATTACAGTCGATTCTTGTGAATGGAAGTGATTCAAAACAATAAACATAATATAATTATTATTTCTATTATTCTAACTAGTGTTGTATATATTGAATAAATAAAATCTAGAAATATTGATATTTAATTTTTTTATTAAAAATGTATTCGTCCCATGCAAAACACCAAGAAAAAAAAAATATGATTTTTGAAATTAACTTGCTCATTTTCAGTTAACATAAATTATCAACTTGAACATAAAAATTACAGTAGTTTTAAAACAATGTTCACCCATTAATTTTACAGCGAAAATTGATAGAAAAACTTCAATATTAATTATTAAATATTATCATTATCCAGTATAAAAATTTGGGTAGACAATTTTTAAATTCAATAATTTCTATACTTAAGTACAGTATATGTATACCTAAGTATGTGTGTTATTAAAAAACAAAAAATATTAAATATATGTATGCTTAAGTTTGTGTATGTTATTATAAAATTAACAAATTTAAAAATTATTTTTTATGATACATCTTTGAATTATGTTTTGCATTGTTTGTGGCTTTATGTTTTCATAACAAGCTTTACACCAGATGGTGCTTTTAATCTTCAATATGTCAATGTTGTTTACATTGTGTAGGGAGCGGATTATGGAGGTTGACGATGTACTTGCTAAGAGATCCCTAGAAACGCTAAGCTACAAAGTGTCACGAGTAAACCATGTTAAGGTCTTCAACAAAGTAAGTGATCTTACACTCTCTTGCACATTTAAAAGGATTAAATAAATTATTAAAGGTGCTTGTGACGCCATAGCAGCTAAAAATTGAATTTTTTTATATGATGATGATGATGCATGGTGATGGTGATGATGATGATGATGATTGTGAACTTTAATATAGCGTATAATGTAAAATACTTCTATGCGCTTTACAACAGGGAGTGGGATTAATTATTAAAAATTTCACCTAATAAATAAATGAATATCAACAATAATTATAAAATATACTATTACAATATTAAGTTATGAATAATTTGAAAATACAGTAATTTTATTTATTATACAAGCCTGTCCCTTCTTTACTCCCAATTTTACGTACTAGTGTTTCCTCGGGCAAAAGTCCAGAATATGATTTGAATGAGTAACTTAGCAAATACTAAAAAAAAAATTAATAAAATATTGGCTTTGGATTAGGCATGCAGTGAAAAAGATTACCTTTTGATTGAAAAGTGGTTTTCCCAGGTATAAGCCCACACCCAAAAATTGGCCCAATTTTATGTTCAAGGAGGGTTGGCCTATACTAGAAGAACTATGATATTAGATTTATTAACTTACAATAAACAAATTTTAAATGAGAAAGAAAAAGATTTCACAATCAACCGGTTTCTGAGTTTGTATTTATTTTTCATGACTAAAAAATAACTCTGTTCCCTCATGAATAGAAACAACTCTGTTCCCTCATGAATAGGAACAATTTCGTTCCCAGGCTCTCATGAGACTTGCATGTATTTTATAGCATTAATTCTATTGTGTAAATTGTAAGTCATTTGCTGATGGTTGAAAGTGAAATAAATATTGTCAATAGACATTGGTTACCGTTCATTATGCCTGAATGACTGCATAGGCTTTCTGGAATAGGCATTTTAAAATCTAATATTTTACCATTAAAATGTACTAAAAACACAAAAGCTTGTATTATATTAGTTTTAATCATCAATTAAAATTTACAAAGAAAAAGTAAGATACAACATCTTAATAATTACATTAGAAATTGGGATCAGTGGTTTGTTAGTGGCGAAAATGGCATCGGGTTAAACGCATTTTGCAACGATAGCAAACGAGTAGTATCACGTGGTATCGTGACGTAACACTGTAGCACTCTATCAGGTCTATGATTAGCATAATGAGTAATTTAATTGGTATTTGTTTTGTGACAACTAAAGTATATCTCATATTTTTTATATTTGTTTATTTTTTGTTTTTCTAGTTGAAGCTAATGGCAACAGTACATCAAACTCAGCCCACCATTCAGCTGTTGCTGTCTACGTCGGAGTTTGTCGGTGCTCTTGATCTGATTTCAACAACGCAAGAGGTTCTCACGCAGGAGCTATCCGGGATCCAGAGCTTCAGGTATTCCACTGATCATGCTGATTTTGAAAAAATATTATATGAAATCTAATATTTAATTTATAATTTAAAATGTTATGAGTTAGATAATACATTAACAAAATTAGCAAATAATTTAGCATTTATTACTCTACTTTTTTAAAATTTGCTTAGTTAATAAGAAAGGATTTGAAAATTTAAGTACAGATGTTTGCAGAAATGCTATTAGTTACAATAGTCTGCAGTATCATTTATAACAAGAAGTTTCCTGCTGGATTCCAAATTAAAATCAGCCAATTCTTTGCCCTTTTAAGCCACCCTGGTTTTAGTTCCTCCTTTTCTTAGTTATGTATAAAAAATGTATGTGATTTGGCCCATTTATGAGTGTGATATTACATAGCATACCCATATATGTGCAATTCACAAATGTTTGTCATAGAAACATAATAGTGTAGACAGAACATTACAGACACTGTCGGCATTCTAAAGGCACATGTAACCAAACCTATAACAACCTGGTTCTTCCAATGTATAATATTTTCAAATTTTATTTTATTTTATTCTTTGTTTTATTTCTACTGTATATGTTTCTCGTCACTGTACCACTTAAATAAAGTAAATAAAATAAATGTTTGATATGAATATTCCCCTCAGACATCTTGGCTCACAGCTGATTGAGCTGGAGAAACTAATTGATAAAATGATGCATGAGGAATTTGTACGGTTTGCAACCGCGGATCTGACCAGGCCTCTGGATGAGGAAGCTGGACCAGATGAGGTTAGTTATTTTATTTTATTTTGAGTTGTGACGTATCAGTGTTTATTGTTTTGTCATCATCCACATGTTTTGTAGGTTCAAGCAGTCTATACAAACACTAAGTTTTGTAACGATCTTTTTTCTATTTTCTTGTTAGGAAAAATTGTCCAGTATAATTCTTGGTCTTCTTCGGCAACATAAATTTTCATTTTTAGATGATTACAAAGATGAATGTACAACTGCAATAAAAGCTATTGTTAAACAGGTAATTGAGATCAATGTTATTAAAGATCATTGCATCTGATGATAATAAGTATGTAATTTGGTTTTTTTATGGTCCAAAAAGCAGTAATTAAAATATTGTTAATCTAGTGATATATAGCCAGGGGGTGCTGTGGGTGTTATTTTGTCTTTTCAGATGACTAAAGCATTGTCCTTCATCCCCCTCTTAATTTTTAAATGTTATTATAGCTCATTGTATCTGATGATAATAAGTATGTAATTTTTCTTTTATGGTTCAAAAAGCAGTAATTAAAATATTGTTAATCTAGTGATATATAGCCAGGGGTTGCTGTGGGTGTTATTTTGTCTTTTCAGATGACTAATGCATTTTCCTCCATCCCCCTCTAAATTTTTCTTCAGATGGTTTTTTTTTTCTTATATCAAATTCAGTAATCTGTGTGGAAGTGTTCTATAATACATGCTTATGATTTATTATTTTAATCTCTTGTAAATGGTTTCCTGTAGACTGTGGTCGATGCGGTTTCAGAAGCTGACAGCATTGACGTGGAGGGCAACTTAGGCAGGTAAGTCGGCAAATGACCTTAAGGCAGTGACTTAAGTTGACTCATTAGTGTTCAACCACTTGTTTTAGTTTTTTTTCCTTTTAAACCATATTTGGAAAGGGTAAGCCTTCCAAAGTATCCCAGCAAGTCGGCTGATCTCAGGGTCCCTCTTAAATAATTCAAATAATGTTATGCTTTTATCAGCGCAGTCTTTTTTATAATTGAATCCAGGACCCTAGTATTAGAAGGCAAGCATCTCAACCAAGCATCTTAACCTCTAAGCTATTCAACTCCACTTCATTAAAGTCAAGAGTTGCAAGTAAAGTGAAAAGTTGCATTTTTAAATCTCATATAGTTCCATCCAGCTGCCCTTTTCAGGTTTACATTAGAGCACAATCTATTACACTATTATTATTATTATTATTATTGTTATTTTTATTTTAATTATTATTATTATTATTATTATTATTATTGTTATTATTATTATTGTTATTATTATTATCATTATTATTATTGTTATTGTTATTATTTTTATTATTATTTTTATTATCGATCAATTTGTAGCTTTTTTACACAATGTTGTAATATGTTATTGATACAGCATGAAGGTGCATACAATTTTTTTTTAATTGTTAAAAATTAATATGTACTGGTACTTGTAATAATACATGTAATGAATTAAAGATAGTTAATAAATATAATTCTGCAAACTAATTATTCTGTAAACCTTTTAACATTAAAAAAAAATGTAATGATATATATTTCTACAGGTACATGTACACTTATAAAATTAGGGCATTATTAATATAAAAAAATTATTAATTATTAATTAATATAGTCATTATATTAATCAGTTTAAATATTGTTATTTTGTAATATGTTATTGATACAGCATGGAGATGCATACATTTTTTTTTAATTGTTAAAAATTAATATGTACTGGTACTTGTAATAATACATGTAATGAATTAAAGATAGTTAATAAATATAATTCTGCAAACTAATTATTCTGTAAACCTTTTAACATTCAAAAAAAATGTAATGATATATATTTCTATGGGTACATGTACACTTATAAAATTAGGGCATTATTAATATAAAAAAATAATTAATTATTAATTAATATAGTCATATATTAATCAGTTTAAACATTGCTATTTTTGATTATTATTCATAACTTCTCACCCACATGCCTGGTAGACTATTGTTAGTCTTTCATTCAAAAACCCCCTGAACATTATTACTATATTCTACTACTGCAAATTCACATTTTGCTTCTCTACATGAATTTAGATGGCAAAAGCACAAACGAGAACAAAATTGAATGCAAACATAAATGTTGAGCTTGCAGTGAGTTGGCTAATGATGTTGATGATATTTGAGCTGGCTAACAAGGGAGTGAAATAATGACTCATATATCTTTTATCCCAAAGGATTTGTAAGCCAATCAATCATTAGATTCATAAACCTTTGGGCAATGGTGCTTGGCAGAGAATGCATGCTCCCTAGGGATTATGCAGAGTTGATTCCAGGTTATGTTGTTCTTCCCTCGTGAAAATGTTCTAAAATGTGTTCCGACATTTAACTTTCAGTTTAGCCGATCAGATGAGATTGCTCAACTTCACGGAATGGCTTCAAATGTTCCAGAATGTGTTCACAAATCTGGCAAAGTTTCTTAGTAGAGTCAAGGTAGAATATCTATATACACAAGATTTGCGAATATACTGCTCGCATGAACATTATTTTTCCCAATGTGTTTTTGCATTTGTGGACCCATTGGGGCTTGTTCAAATAGATAAAACAAGATCGTAACAATTAATGTAAGATATTTATTGTGTTATGTATAGTAGTTTGCTAATGAGTGGATAATAGTGCTCGATGGCTTTCACAACAAAAAAAATTTAGAATCTTAAATCTAGAAAGATGATTCACCACATAAAATAAGCACCAGAGTTATTTCATCATTAATAGGGCTCCTAATGATCAGGAGGATATTAATCAAACTGTTGTAACAGAAGAAAAATAATGGAATCATGAAAAATTGGTCTCCAAAATTGTTTGTGGATCCCTGCCGACCTTTTGATTTGGCAGACCCCAAATTATTATTTGTGGACCCCTAACCTGGACACGAGAACCACTAGCAAAGACAATACATTTTTTTTTTTTCAAAATTCTTTTATAAAAGCAGACACAATTGCCAATAATGATGGTGTTCTTCAGACTAAGTCTTCTTGTTAGGCTTAGTGAGTGGAACTGTTTGTATTCATGAGACTAATCCTTGACTCAGAGGCTTCCCAATCTCTGGAATTTTAGAGCAAGCCTCATAAAAACCAGGCTACATCTCTACTTACTAATAAATGATAATGTTAAAATACCACCATGTTCTTCCTATTTATTATGACATAATAGCAGATGGATTGGTTTTATGGTTATTAATTTTTATATATGTAGTCAGGATTATGTTTACTTATATAATCATATAAAATATTAGGAACTTATAAAACACCTTCTTACTTAAAATACAAGCCACTGAAAAAAGAAAATAAAAGAAGCAATATAAAGCATTAAAATTTTGTATGTCAATAAAAAGCTCATAAAAACGTTTTATATTCAAAGCAAATAAAATAAAAATATGCCATAGCTATAAAAGATAGATAACCATAAAAAAATTTAATAAACCATGAAGAGTGACATCATAATGTATACATATTTATAGAAGTCCTTAATTTAATGTGTTGAATAATTGTTTTTTGACTAACAGATGACATGGGATGTAATGAATAAACTCATTGATTTTGCTGCTGGCCACAATGCGCATGCTGGCAATGAGACGGCAGACAATACAGAGCCGGGAGAGCCCCAGCTAAACAGCACAAACGTTAATGGAAGTAAAGACGACAAGTGTCCACAAGCTAGAGTGCCGTCACCTTTAACTTTCCTCAAAGTGTATGTCACCTGATGTTTCTTACACGATAGGTTATTTAGTACCGGTATATGACAAAATATTAAAATGTGTAGTCTATAGAAGCTTTGGTCTTGTTTATTATTACAGTATATTTTGCTAGATATTATTTGTTTGTTTATTTTGTTGGTACATTACTGGTAATTTTTGTTATTATTATTGTTATTATTATTATAACCTTTCATTTATTTGGTTTATTTTATTTGTTTATTTGTTTATCAAACAGGAATATTATTATGATTGCTATTATTGTTTCTTTTTTTTTTATTTGTTTATATGTATGTTTATTTGTTTAATTATTTATGTATGAAACATATATGGCTTACTATTTCCAAAGTTATGAGTAAAAGTACTATGGCTTCTCTGGCTACTAAAATATACAATACTGTCTCATTCTTTAATATGCTAATTACTGAGTCTAAAATTTAGTAACAGTTGTGGCATGTTGTTTGTCATTTTTGCTGTGTGTGTGTACTTGGCAAACAGTATATTCAACACTGATATTTATATTTATAATTTGTTATTGTTGTTTATAGATCGGATGTTGATATCCTAATTGCGCCAGTGGAGCACCAACGTTTGAATACTGTTTTGAAGGAAGTATTGGTAATGCTGTGTGACTACGCTCATGATAGAAGTCTTAAACTTCTCATTGCAAGAGGAAAGGTATTATATAATTTAGTATATAACTAGAGCAGTCACTCGACAGAATGCATGCCTTCGCACTGTGCCTTAATGCAATTCCATTATGTTCTTTTATCCTCAAGGTTAAGTTCAAGGGGGAAGAAATTTGAATTCGGTGACCTCTTTTGAGCTTTTCTTTCCAAAATTAAATCACCTCTTAGAGATTATTTTGTACCATTCCACTAAATTTTGTGATGATCATTCCTTAATATTTTGCGTAATCTTGCCAATAAACAGTCAGTGATGAATACATAATCTCCTTTGCAGGTAAAAAAGATTTCAACATAAGTTGTTGTGGAGTGTGAGAGAATACAGGGTCAGGAATATGTGTTTTTCCCACAAACATGTGTGTTGTCCCACATGTCTCTATGGGGCCTTAGCAACAGTATCCAAGGGGCGGAGCTTTGCAGAAGGGTCCATTTCATACACAGGTTGATGTCTTCCATTAAATGTTAACTTTTTCTGTATTGAGCTTAAAAATTTGAATAATTATATTTAATATTTCAAAATGATTTTCGTGTTAAGTAATTAGATTTTGTATGTAAATTACAAGAAAATATTTTTCTCATATATTAACACTAACAGACCAATAAAAAATGTTAATTCTGATATTCTTAAGCCATGGCTGGACTATCAGATTTTATTTTACAAAAACAAGTGACATGCCTAAATATGGTCATGATGACATCACATCATGACCATATATAGGCATATCTTGTTTAATGATTTTCATTGTAAATTTTTTTCCTGTAGGATGGATTTCTAGAGAAACTGAGTTCCAGTGAGTTTGTGTCCTTGTCGCGATCAGTCGAAACATTTGTTTCACAATGTGAAGCTGTGAGTGGCCGACGTAGTAACTCCCTCAGAGGGGGCTTGCAAAACCAGGTAAGGAAGGTTGCTATGGGTCTTATAAACTTGGTTGGCCTACAGAATCATTGGTGTGTTGTTGATCTGTGTATAGTAAACATAGTGTTGTGTTGATATGGTGTTAATCAGTATATATTTTCTATTTTTAAATTAGGCCAACAAGTTTGTAAACAGATTTCACGAAGAAAGAAAAACCAAAATGAGGTAAGCACGCATCAGCAATATTGCTGTGTACAGCGTTTCGGCAAACTTTTAAACTGACGACCCAGTTTGCAAATTCAGACATGAATCTACACACTAACCCCTTATCCACACAATACTAATTCAAAGAGCTAGGCCTAGTGCAATATTTTGATTAATCTCTTTAAAAAAGGGTGTAGTAATTTATGGGGTTTTTTTTCAGCTTGCTGTTAGATAATGAACGTTGGAAGCAGGCAGAAGTTCCAGCCAACTTTCAGGATTTATTAAGTGCAATGGCTAAAGGTAATAATAAGCAAAACAATAAACATATCTTTCTCATTTGTCAGGTCTTTTATATATTTATTTTCTGTTTCTGAGCCATATACAATAATACAATGAAATACAAAATATGCCATTATAATATTAAACAATATGTCCTGCAGATATGGCCAGTGACTCATTACATTGATTTCAGCGTATATTATTTCAAGTCAAGTATTCACACACATGTGAGTTGATATGTTGCACAATGAAATCTATTTAAGTAAATATTTACTCATACCTTTTATCTATGCTTGTGCCCTACATCATCTGCAGGTGAAATCTCGCTTGACCTTTTAGCAAGAATGGATCAAGGTGAGTTGAAATACATTGTTACACAAATATATTAATCTAGATAACAAAGATAGAAGCAGACTCATTCAAATCAATCAATTTTTAAAACTGTTAAAATTAGACCTATATTGAATAATATGAATAAATATGAGATAGTACTGGGATATTGCAGGTATTTACTGCCTCCTTCCAAAAAGAAAAAGTCAAAATGTGATGGTTGTTTTTTTGAAAAATTTAACATTTCATTTTGTTGTTGTTTGTTTATTGTATGTTAAGAATGTGTTGTTGTTTGTTTTTGTAGGTAGCAATTCTTATTTTATTGGTGTTTTGTTTTTGTAGGTAACGAAGAACGTAAATCAGCTGAATATGTGGAGATCAATGGCGGCAAGTATGCTGTAATTGGGTGCGTGTAAATACTTTGTATACAAGCAGAATATTTATGACTTATTATGTTTGAATATAATTCATATATGAATCTTTTATAACCAATATGAATATTTATGATTGTTATGAGTGTTGCATATTCATATTTTATATTCATAATTTTGTAAAAAAAAAATAAATAAAATTATCTGAATATCTTTGATATACACACATTATGAATATTTATGACTTATTTATGTATAAATATGAATTGTATATGAATATGTACAAGTCTTTTATAACCAATATGAATATAATTGTTAAGTGTTGTATATTCATATTTCAAATTTAATATTTTTAAAAATTTAAATTAGAACTAAAGATAATAAATATATTAAATTTATGAATATAATATTTTGTTTGCTAGGACTGTGTTGATGTTGCTTAAGATGGTTGCCGAGTACTGCCAATGTGTTGAGGATATTCCATCTGTTACGATAGATATCTTAACACGACTCATTGAAATATTTCAGGTATGCTATCATTATTTAGTTTCTGATAATTATATTATTTAATGTATTCATTAGATGATATAATAATCATCAATTCTTTTCATTATACTGTAATTGGTTGTCATCATCATAATTATTATAATAATCATCAATTGTCAATATCAAAATCACCATTGGCATCATCATTATTATCTTATCAAGTTACATCATCTTCCCCGTCATCATTGCCATTGTCTTTGTTGCCATTCTTATTAATTTTCAACATCTTCATCAATTCTCATCTTAATCTCAGTTACCATTTTAATCAAATATTAATTGACAGTTCATATCTTTATTTTTCCTAGAATTTTAACTCACGGTCCTGCCAGCTAGTGTTAGGTGCTGGAGCTTTACAACTCGTTGGACTCAAAACAATTACTACCAAAAACTTAGGTAAGTTCAGTGCTTATCATTGACATGTTTACCTTCAAGATTAGCTTCAGGCCTTTCAAAAACCAAGGCAGCAAATAACTCAGTTTCACAATGTAAGGTAGTAATACCCTATTCTGACTACACTTATACCCCTTTCAGACAGACCTGCGAAACGGTATTAATACCGTATTACTTGAACGCCAGCGTTCTATGTGAAAGGGTAAATACGTCTAAACGCCGGCTTCAGTTAGACCTCCTCGGGACCTAGTCTTAATACCGCATTAATACCGTAGCGAGTTTTGCCCAACTCGATGTGAAAGGGTACAGGGTTCATCGCCGTCTTATGCACTGAGGCATAACAAATCAGACGGTCACACAAGCAGCCATCAACCGCTGCTACAGCTAACAAAGCTGATGAAATCGCTAGCTGACGGTTCTTTTAGACGCGAAAATCGCCTGAACCTAGCTGCTCGAAATTCAAGCCGGCCTCGCCTTAAACGCTTCCTGAATTCTTTCTTTCCTTGAACAAAACGCATTAGAAACCTTCTGTTTCTCAATTTATATGTATTGCAAACATAGCAAGCATTAAAAAACATTTGCAAAGCAGCAGTTTTATGACTTCTTCCCTGGCCATATTGGATTAATGGAGTAAACAAAAACTTGCGCCCTCTTTGTTAACAAGCACAAGCGCCACAGACATCAAATACTCCTTTCCGCGAGAACCCTTTCAGACAGGATACGGTATTATTACCATATTTTAACTAGCTGTGTGAAAGGGTCTGCGCCGGCAATAACGGCGGCGTGATTAGGGTATTATTGCAGTATTTTCTGTCTGAAAGGGGCTTCTGTTGCAATCGCTTGTGATGTAGGTGGTGGTAATCTAAAACTGATTACTCCTGATCTCAACCAACCGAATCAGACATAAACAAATTTATAGTGGAGCGGGAGGTCAAACAGTACGAGTAACAATTGTGATATCGATAACCCATAAGAATCTTTATTGAATGTGTGTTATAAAAGTTATTTAAATTATTCAGGGCTGGCATCCAGGTGTCTTCAGTTGATAGGCTTGTACATTCCAATTGTGAAGGAATTCTTTGCTGCACGTTTGCTACCTCGACAGATGATGGTACTCAGATCATTTGACAAAATCCTCAAGGTGAGTGCATACATCAGTAAAGTCCAGACTATACATTTTTGTTTGACAATAACATGTGACATGCCTAAGTATTGTCATGATGACTTCACATCATTACCATATATAGGCACATCATGACTAAATATGGGCATACATCATATATTTGTCCAAAAAAAAAAAAAAAAAAAAATATATATATATTTATATATATATATATATTTTTTTTTTTTTTTTTTTTTTTTTTTTTTTTTTAACATTGTTATATATTTTTATTATAGACTGTAGTTTTTATTTTAAATTAAGTTGAATTTAAACATCCAGTTTTGTTAATTTTTCATGCCATTTTCCTGTATTTCATAATATTTATAATATTAATAATTGTTCATTTTTAGGATTATAATGACCATGTGCAAGAAATCTCCAATAAGTTAATTGCCATCATGGATGATACATTTATGCATTGTCTTTCAAAGGTGAGTCGCATATCCCATAATTCCATACATACCTAGTATGTTAATATGAAATTTAAAAACTCTAAAAACTTCTTTTATCTTAAATCTTGCTTTGGTTTTAACAAAGATATAGCTAAAAGAATATGTTTCTAATTTAGATTATCAAAATGTACATGAATTTGTATTGTACAGTATGTATCTCATGTAAAGATGTATTGTCCCCAGAAAATGACAAACTATTTAAAAAAATAAAAAAAGTTTGAAATTTATTTGCTCATTTTGCAGTTACCTACAAAGTATTAACTTGAGCGTAGAAATTATTGAATTTAAAAAATGTGTACCCTAATTTTTATACTGGATAATGGTACAAAAAATAAAATACTTTTTGCTTTAAAATTATGGTAATTGTTTTTAAATACACTAATTTCTATATTCTATGTTAAATATTCTTATAAAGTTAATTTCAAAAATGATTTTTATGAGTTTTATTTGGTATTTTTAATTTGACAATACATATTTTAGACGGAATTTGTTAGCAAATCTGTGATTTTTTTGTTTCCGTTTGTCAGTGGGAAGTGAAAGCCCCTGTACCATCTCTTACATTTCGTGAAATCTGCAAGAGAATTCGCAAGATCCATGAAGCAATAGTGGACATTCTACCACCAGAACAAATAAAGGATTTGTTTGTTCAGATGAACACTTCGTTTAAAACTCACCTTAAGAAGCAGTTAATTACCTTGAATGTGACTAACGATGGTGGACCTCAACATGGGTAAGTTAAAAACTCCCTAATTTACCTTATGTTCATTTATTGATATTGTTTGTCTTCCATTGCCAGTGCTTCAAAAATTAAAGGGAATAGCATTTTTATAGAATATTATTCATCTTTTCAAATAAAGAAATCTTGATGGTGGCTTATTCATTATTTATACAGTACAGTAATTTCTGTTTGTAGAAATGCTATTAATTACAATAGGCTGCAGTGTCATTTGGAACAAGAAATTTCAGATGACTTTTTTTTTTCTTGTATCAAATTCAGCAATCTTGTGTGGAAGCATAGAACACAAAAACTCCCTAATTTACCTTATGTTCATTTAATTATATTAGTCTTCCATTGCCGGTGCTTTTTCTTTCAAAAATTCAAGGAGAATGAAGTTTATTTTAAATACTATTCCCTTTCTCAAATTAAGAATTTTAGGTGTGGTTTAAAAAATATTCAAATGTTATTCATGCATATGTTAGTTCCTTCAAAAATTCCTATTTGCATGAACAATTTTTATTGCAGACAAAGCTAAATTGCAAAAAAAAAAAAATTATTTGAAAGTAACCCATTGTCATATTAAACATTGTCAAGACTTAAGAAATTGCACCGTAATTTCTGAATATAATTAATAAAATATTGCTTCCATTCTTAACTGGTGCAATTTGAACAATATACAGTGGTTTCTAGGGATGATTTTTATTTTTTGTTTTGTCTCAACAGGTTAGTCACCTCAGAGCTTGTGTTCTATACAGAATGTGTGCAATTGACCAGCGGTCTGGATAAACTGGACAATATGAATGATATCTGGGTCAGAAGGTAACACAGACAAATCAGATGGCTCACCATCATAGCACCCTTATGTGACCCTACCAGATTGCCTTTGACCAGTTGGTGTGAATAAAATGGATATGAATGATATATAGGTGATCACCATACAGATTTGTCATCTGTTACAACCAGTTTATAATTGCCCAGTGGTATGAAAAAAGTGTGAATGATATGGGTTTGAAAGGTATCACAAGTAACATAGTTGAACATTTTACAGACCTCTGATGCCAGTTTGTAATTGACCATTGATCTGAGTACAATGGCCAATATGAACTGTGTAAGAGTCAGAAGATAATAAGATGGGATACAATCATATTGCCCTCACACATCCCAGCACTATTTCTGATGGAATTTTCATATGGTTTTGTTGGACTACTGAATTGGGAAAGATTCTCAATGTACAATGGCTTGCCTGACTCAGCCAGATAAATATGAAGCATTGTCTTTGTCATACAACGACAAAAGATAGATCCATATTCATGTAAGATTCTCCGTAATTTCCATTATTGAATGGGAAAGTTGCAATAGGAACCAGTTAGCTCAGACCCTCAACAGATTTTATAAATACATAAAGCATAGATATATTCCCAATAATATTTCTTTAGTAGCGTTTCTTCCGCATCATATTATTGCGTCCCTATTTCTAGTCATGCCGGAGGATCAGATGACCTCAATAATTTGCTACCAGAATTGACCAAAGATAAAATGTGACCCAAGTACAACTCTTCCTTCCTTACCAAGAATTCCCATCAAATCCATGTACCACAGTTATGATGGAGTGGGCTTATACATGAGAAACTACTGTAATTTAAGAATATTGTAGATCTTAGTACTTCTTCAATTGTGCAGATTACAGCATGTGTACTCGCTCATTGTGCATAAGTGATTTCATCCAAAAACATCCTAGTAATGTCAGGGGTCCCTATTTGAAGAAGCCACTTCCAAGAGATAAATCTGCTTACATGAGCTTTCTTTTAACATATCTAACTTTATTTTTTCTGTGCATGATGCTTCCCCATCACCAGCTGACTTGCAGAAAACAATTAATAATACAATTAGTAAAAACCATGAAAATTATGGATTTGCTGAATATGGATTATTTTCCAAGAGGTTTTTGCTTTCTTGCGGAAGTAGAAGAGGCCGTCTCAATTTCTTGGAGACTCCTGCGACATGAAGAAGACTTGGGACTCCTGGTAATGTAATCCTAAATGTTTCCTTTCTATCCTATCTGATCATGTTGAATAATTTACTTGTCAAATTTTCAAAGACATTACTACAGTGTACTATTTCTGTCTACTTTTATACTATTTATATTAGTGGTTATTTTTAATACTCAAATTAAGTGTTATAAATACTGATTTATTTACTAAGGTCAGGAGGTCACAAATGAATTTAAGACCAAAAAATGTGGCATATTTTCATATATGTAATGTAATAAATGAGGTTTAAATAAAGTTGTCAGACAATGAAAGGTTATTTTGACCTGTAAATTATAAATGTTTCTTACTCCCAGAATGAACTGTCAGTTAATTTATAAATTGTTAATACAGATTTTGATTTTGTGCTGACTGTTTCAACTAAGTTGTAGCAGTAATTAAACAGATTTCCTAAAATAACATGTTATGTTTTCTTTATCGTGTTCACCTTATGTGATGCAATTTATTTAAAATACTGTACAGTCAAATAGCTGATGTTGGAATCCATTGGTCTGTCAGTTGAGTGTGCTTTGTTCTAATTGGTTGATAGTGAATATGTCTTGACCATAGTGATGTCAAAATTTCGATGACTATTCCATTTTTAATGTGTTAAAGGTTAAAGGAAGGGATTGTTAAAAATAAAAAAAAATTTTTGTAAGGAAATTTTTGTTAAAAATTTGTTAAAAATTTTAGACTAGTGCATAAGTGGTGCTAGGTAGGTTGATCATAGCTTGTAGCGGCAGTCATTGTAATTAGCGACAAATGTACTTTGATCTCATTTTCCCAGTATATCGGTAGTCTGTCTATGATGTGGTAGACAAACAAGATGTATGAGGTAAACCTAGAAACAATAGTGTGCGACAAGCCACATTTGCTAAAGGTGCTGTAGCAACTGTTGCCAAAGTAAAGCCAATAATAGTTGAGAGTGGAGTATACAGTTGCTAAGTTACTTTGATATTGGCATTGTTTACTTGTACTGTAATGTAATTGTTGATGTGTTTTAATTATGTATGCTTTAAAGCTTATTTATAAGGGCAAATTAAATTTCAACTTCTTAAACTATTTCAAGGACACCCAGATGAACTATGCCTGGCAAAGTCTATACACTGTGTGCGTTGTAGCCAATTTTAGGGCATTTATTTTGCTAATAAGTGAAGATGTATTTAAAATTAGGGGATAGATAAACTATATATGTTGACTTTTAGTTCATTTGGTTGATTGTATTTTAGCTGTAATTATAATAATCTGGTGCCACAACATTGTTACTAATAATTATTATAACAGATTCAATTGTAGGTATATTTTGTAAATCTAAATTATAAATGACTTGTATATTACTTCTGTACATTTATATTAATGATTTATTGTTTAATTCTAGTTGGGTATCTATTTTTAAATTTGTTGCATTAGGTGATTAATTAGTGTGCAAACCTTTATGTTTGAATGTTGTATTTAACATATAAATATACTTTTCACATATTTAAAAATAGATAATTATATTCACTGAGATATTCAAATTCTCTATTATGTACATTGAGATAATAAAATAAAGATCTTTTAGAGGCCTGAACTTTCTTTGCAGTCAGTATAGTTCAATTCATCATTATTTCTGCCTTTACTACCCCACTGCCAAAATACTGTCCACATTTACAAATGCCAATTAAAACCTAGTTTTAAGCTTGACAATATTAATTTAAACATATAAGTGTTCTTTAATGATCCTTTGCTACCATAGTGTAATGGCTAGGTCACACCTACAGGGATACCAATATGGATACGATAAAATAAATATTTGTATATTGTGAATTTATGGATGTGGTCACACTATAATGATAATGATGTACAATTGTCGTAATCTTTAAAGATATATTGGTCAATTAGCTTTTGAACCTTTTTTTTTATTGTCAGTAACAATTTTTCACATAGTGTACATTTCCTGCACGATTCAAATCAAAAACGCCCTTTTGAGACAAAGCAAACAGCTGCAATGGGCAGTGTGGGGACATTGTTTATTACTGAAGCTTTTTTATTACATTATGCCACCAAATATTGTAATTATTATCAGGCCAAAATAAAAATGCTTAAAAATTATTGTGAGGGTACTTTGCCAGTGACACAGTTTGATCTGTGATAGTATGTCATGTTCTGATTTTCTCAGAGGAACATGTAAACTTATGCTACGTGTTACAAACAGCGGTATTTAAAGTGAATTGCTCTAACCCCTGATTTGAAGAGCTCACAGTTTTCCTAGTGCAGCGTATTTTCATGTGCACGACTATCACAATACAGTGTTCTGTCACAAAATGTACACCTACTATTACTGTGTGACAATACGTGGTCTATTTCAACAACCTGTGGCTGTGTACAAAATTCTACAACAAATTCACGATACATATTCCGATGGTGTTTGTGTCAGGAGAAATAATATGAAATGATGTCATGCCCTACCTGACTTACTGAATGCTCTGTACATTCCCAAATACTTGAAAAATTCAGTATTTCCATATTCCCCCATGAATGAAGTGTACCGACCAGTTGGTCGTCGAAATCCAGTTTGCCGAGTTCAGAGCACTTTGCCGAAACCCAGTTTGC